GCATGAAGTCACTGAGTCTGAACTGACTTGAAGGGACCTAACAACAATAGAGGCTACTTCCCAGGGACCAGGGACAAGGTGAGCTGAAGCTTTTGCTCTGTGCCTATCCACCTCTCTACCTTTGTTCTCCAACTCCACCACCCCAGCCCATGCCCATGCCCACAGGGTTTACTTCTAAGTATCACTTAACTCCACCTCATTCCCGTCATTCTCATCCTGGTTCATCTCTTACCTGACATCTGTCCTTCTCATAGGTCTCCCCATTCTGACAAATCAGCATGAGTATACTGTCTAAGAAAGCTATCTGGTGCTCCATGGGGGGGAAAAAAAATCCATATTTCAAATGCCCTTTGGGAGCCACCCCATAAGCTCAATTGGCCTTCTTTTCCCCTGTTCTCACTCTATCCAGGATGTCGAATGGAAACCCACAAGGACAGCTGTGTTCTATATTCACTTTCCGATGGGATGACCCCTAGTCATGTGCAGTCAATGGAGCAGCAGAGGACTGAAGTTTTCATCTGAATCCATTTAATCAATTTCCACTGAAATAGCCATACGTGCCTAGCAGTTGTACTGGGCAATATCATGATTATCCCATGTGGAACCTTCCAGTTCCAGAACAAGCCTCCTCTGTGTTTTCAGGGTCTTTGCACATTCTGTTCCCTTGGCCTACAATGATCTGACCTCCCCCTGACCAGTTCACACTCATCCTGAGGTCTTCCCTAGTGGTCACTTCTGAGAAAGTGTTGGCAGCCCACCAGGAACAACTCTACCTGTTACACTCTCTCCTAACCCAGCTCTGATCCTATTAGGAGTTTGACATCTGGCTCTCACACCTATTTCCTGCTCCTTTGGCCATTGCATGTGCATATACTGAGCACCAACTGTGAGGCAGGCCCTGCTTTTCCAGGGCTGCTGTGCAGGAAAAGACAAGCTTTGCAGCAAGAAAGCACTATGTGAGGATGTTAGGGAACACATAGGCAACTCTCAAGTCGAGAGGTCAGGGAAAACTGTGGCTTCTCTGTATTCCTGAGTGTCTGAGGAAAAGCACTGTGGGTTTGGGCCATCCACAGGTATGTCCAGAAGCAGGTTGAAATCTGGGCATATCTCCCCAGAGATACCCTGGCCCTAACTCCACCTCTACTTGGCTAGTCCTCTCCAGTTTCTTTTAACATTCATTTGAGAAACTTTGCATCCAATACAGTTTAGAACTGGAAGGGGCCCCAAGAGATGTCTTCATGTAACAGGTAAGCTGGGGCCCAGAGAGGGGCAGGAATTTGCTGTGTTCCCTCTGTGGGCTCTTTGGGTAGACCAGGATTTCAAATTTCAGTCAGCCCCTGTTCTGCAAACATTGTGAAGCCCACACCTCACCTGCTTCATTACTTGAAATATATTTTTTCAATGTTAAAAACTAATACGACACCAAAAGAACCACAAGTAACAGCAACAATCAAGAAATAAACCCGACGTTCTCAAAATTAATGTTCAAATGACACAACTAAAACAGTGAAAAGACAACGGCAGAATGGGAGAGGATTTTTGCAATTCATATATCTGATAAAGGGACTTGAGTCTAGAATATACAAAAAACCCAGGACAACTCAATAAAAAGATAAACAATCCAATTTAAAAGTGGACAAAAGACTTGGGTATAAAAAATATGTACAAAGAGCCAATAATCACATGAAAAGATTCTCAGAATCCTTAACCATTAAGGAAATGCAAATCAGAAGCACAAGGAGCCACACGACTTCACACCCACTGCTCTTGTGTTAGGTGCTAGCCAGTCTAGAAGATTTGGAGTCACGGTGGCCCCATGTGACAGAGTAGAACTGTCTCAAAGGGTTTTCTAGGCAGTCATCTTGATGTGAGCAGATTGCCAGGGCCTTCTAGCACCATTTACAAAAAAGAGAGAGAGAGAGACTAGCAAAGTGGTAGAGCAATGGGAACTCTCATACACTGCTGGTGGGAATGTAATATGGTGCAGCCACTGTGGGGAAACAGTTCCTCAAATGGTTAAACATAAAGTCTCTGTGGTGGTGTTGTTAAGTCGGTTAAGTCTAGTTGGTTCCGACTCATAGGAACCCTGTATAGGGTTTCCAAGGAGTGGCTGGTGAGTTTGAACCTTACAGTCCAGTGTTTTACCAACAATTCCATTCCTAGGTATTCACTCAAAAGCAGCATAAACCCAAGTTCAAATAAAAGTCTGTCCATCAGTGTTCATTGCCACTCTATTCACAACTGTCAGATGATAGAAGCAACCCAAGTGTCCATCCACTGATGAATGGATACACACCACGTAACCCATCTGTACAACACACAGAGAAATGAGTCTGACACACACTAGCACACAGATGAACTTTGAAAGCACGGTGTTAAGTGAGAGAAGCCAGGCACAGCAGGACAGATATTATATGTTCTCACATACATGGAATGCCAGGGTAGACACATTCATAGAGCCAGAAAGTAGATTCGTGGGTGCCAGCAGCTGAGGGCCAGAGTGGGCGGAGGACTTGAGGGATGAAACTAAGGGGCACAGGTTTCTTTCTAGAGTGATGAAAGTGTTCTAAAATTGACTGTAACAATGCCCATACCTACCTGTGAGTATATGAAAGACCACTCTAAATCATACATTCTAAATGAGTGACTTGTATAGTATGTGAATTTTATGTAGATAAAGCTGTTCTAAAAACAAAACAACTAAAATACTGTAATCTGATCATCAAGCCTATCCAGGAACTGTTGGGCTTAATGCATCACTTCCATATGTTTTTCAGTGCTTTTTAAAAATACATGACCATTAACATTTTGAACTGCCTCTTTCTCACACACACATGCACACATGCATGATTCACAGGAACAGCCCTGGCCTGCCCTGCCTCCCTCAGAACCACTCTTAGACACTATATCCATCTGTATCCTCTAAGATCGTGAGAGAAAAACAATGTAATCGATTCACACCCTTCTCCTGGCCACTCACAACAGTATTACAGACACAATCCCCTCCTAAGGAGAACTATGAATCATGGGCTTTGACTTTTCAATGTGCTAGTTACGGACCACAGTATAGCCTTGCATGCTTACCCCAAGGCTGTTGACTGCAGAACCACAATTAATGGAGACTCAGGGCCTTTGAGATACTTTCTTTCACAGATTTTCCAGGCTTTCCTTCCAGGGCATGACTGGGTGAGGTCAAACCCCTACCCTTTCCATTAGTTATTGTCATTGTGGTTGAATGCCACCCAGTTGGTTCTGGTAGGTTTGAACCACCAACCTTGCAGTTAGCAGTCTGGCATTTATCCTACAGTGCAACACCAGGACTTCAAGTGCAACCTGCTTTTGGCACCCAGGGACCGTTCCTAATAAAGCCACTTTAGCGGATGCTGGGAGGCTGAGGTCTGCCCTGGAAAAGACCTGAGGGGCAGAGAGCAGAGACTCCAGCTGGAAATAGGAGTTTCTCGAGTGTTGTGTGAACTGTGAATTGTGCCCTCACAAAAAGCAGTGTGGAAATCCTGATGCCAAATGTGCTTGGAAACAGCTGTTTCCTTTTGTTATGTTAGGGAGGGTACATTCATTAGGAGTAGGGTGAGTCCTAAACCTAACCCCTTCTGAAACCCCCAAACCCACTGACTCATAGCGATCCTGGATAAGGTTTCTGAAGCTGTAAATCTTTACCAGAGCAGAAAGTCTCATATTTCTCCCATAGATCAGCTGGTGGATTTCAACTGCCGACCTGTGGCTAACAGTCCAGTGCTTATCCTAAGCAGAAGAGAAATGGACACACACTCAGGAGAAGGGCAGACAACATATGAGGGGCCATCTACAAGCTAACAAATGGCCAGGGCTACCAGAAGCTGAAAGAGACAGAGAATCCGCCCCTCGAGTCTTCAGCAGAAGGGTGGCCCCAGGACACCCTGGATTCAGACTCAGTCTCCAGAAACTAGAGACAGTAAATATTTATGTTCTTTAAAGCCCCAGAGCACTAAGACACTGGGAAGCCCATGCTCGCTTATCCCACTCCACCCAGACATACAGACCCCGTCCCCTCTAGCCCACCTCCCTGAAATTGTCCCTCATGAGACCGAGGGTTGTGTGAACACCCAGCTGTACACTTCCTGAGCCAAAGAGACACCATCTTCCGGGTGAATTTTGAAGATTAGGAATCAGGACTGCATTCCCTAGTGGTCATGACTTGATGAGCCACAAGAAAGGACCTATACTCTGCAGTTTGCCACAGTTCCTACCCAGCCCAACAGCCTCACTCATAGGACTGGAATGGCCTCATACAACAAATGCTCTAAGCACAGAGCCATCATTCTTGCTGGTGCAGAAACAGCTTTGTCTGGGACTAACAACAGATTGGGGTACAACCTTGAACCACTTGGTAAACCCAAGTCACAAACCACAACCACACATGTTGTCATTCCTGTGATGGTCTGGCATTCAAATAGTCTTACCCCATCATTCCCACAAATGTTCACGTGCCTCAACACTTATTCCAGTAATATAGTTTCTATTTCAGTAATATGGTTACCATGTGGACTAAACAAAGGCCGGGACTCAAATTCAGGCTCTGTCTAATTTCTTTAAGTTTTATTGGGACACACCATTCACTTACACACTGCCTATGGCTACTTTCGGGCCAAGATGTTAGAGCTGAAGAGTTGAAACAGGGACCCAGCATTGTGCAGACCCTAGAAGACCTACTGCCAGCCCTTCACAGAGAAGGTGGGGTGGTGGGTGGAAATGCGCTTCATTTATACAAGCATTCTGGGGATCCAGAATTTCTCTGAAATATGAATATTCTTGAGGTAAGAATACTCCACCAGCAGGTTCTTAGTTACAGTAAGGGGTGAGGTCAGAGGGGAGGAGAGGTACCAGCTTGGCCACCATCATGAAAAACAGTCCAAAGCTCCATCACTCTGTACCCCAAAACTCTTCCTGCCCACAAACACCCAGTGACACCCTTCCACCCCCACCCGGAAACCACCGACACTCACTTCATGGGCTTGAACAGCGCCTGCCCGTAATTCTGGAACATCATGATGAGCTTGAGCTGCGTACCCCCCGACTTCATAGCTGCAAGAGGGAGAGAGAAACAGAGTCATTCACTGCCTTCAGGGGAGGTGGGCCAGCCCAACGAGGACAGACCGGGACCTGAGAGGTTTGGGTCCCCTGCTGCAATGCCCTTCCCTATTGACATGGCCCCTCCTGGTGTTCAGAGTCTCTTCAAAACTCTGAACCCAACAGAAGGGATCAGATTCTAGAGGGGTGGCCACCAGCAGCCCCTCACTGCCCTGTGCACATGCACATATTCACCGCTCACACACATGTGCATGTGTATGTGCAACATACATGCACTTCACATGAACACATGCACACACTCACCACACATAAACTCAATATTCACACACAAGTGCACACATACATAGAATTCATATGTGCCGCTCATGCATCCCCATACTTGCACACGTAGGTTGTTCACATGTGCGAGCATACACACACAACATACCACCCATGCATACACATTGACATGTGCACATGTACACACATCACTCATACAGATCCATGCACACACATGCATCATGCACATGCGTGTATATGCACTATATGTTCATATAGAGGCACATACATACAAGTGTACTCACACATGTATGCACTACTCATTAACATGCATACATACCTGCACAACCTATCACACACAGACACAGACACATACACACATATACACACATGCACACACCCATCACTCATACACACAAGCACAACCCATCACTCATGTACTGTGCACACATATGCACACACTGCTCATGCACACCACACACACCACACACATGTGCATATCATGTATACATATGTAGCCATGCATGCATGCACACATGCCAAACACCACCAACACACATGCTTGCACACGTGTATATCGCACACGTGTATGTCTGCACACATATACTTACACAATGCACACATTATTCATGAACATACATACACATATGCATGCAGACACACGGGCACACATAAACACACACCTTATATACACATGGACATACACACATACATTTACACACATGTGCATGTAAATACACCACACACACATGCTCACCTGTGCACACACACAGATGCACAGACACATGCCTTCCTTCCCCCAATGCTGGCCCAGTCTAAATGACAGCAGGACTTCCAGAAGGTCTCTCTGAGGAGACCCCAGATCCTCTTAGGTTGGAGGTGCCTTCCATGTGGGAGAGAGGAATCTAGGTTCAATTTCCGGGCAATGCACCTCATATGCGTACATCCACTCCCTGTCTGTCACTGGAGACGGTGTGTCGCTGTGATGCTGAACAAGTTTCAGCGATGTTTCCAGACTAGCACGGACTAGGATGAAAGGCCCAGTTATCTACTTCCAGAAGCCAGCCAACAAGAACCCTGTGGTTCTCAGCAGTCCAGTCTGAAAAGGGCTGTGGTGATGGTGTGTGGCCAGGCAGGGTTCTGTTATGCTGCACACAGAGTCATCATAGCTACAGCTAACTCAACAACAGCTAACATCCCAATAACAATTCCCCATGGCAGAGAACTCTGCAGCTCCCCAATCCAGACAACAGAACTGTTTATCGCATAGTACACACCTGTGTAAATAGACTGTACTGTTAACCCAAACCAAACCCTCTGTCATTAATCAATTCTGACTCATAGCGACCCCTGAGGACAGAGCAGAGCTGCCCACGGGGTTTCCAAGGCCATCCTCTTTACTGGAGCAGATTGCCTCAACTTTCTCCCGTGGAGTGGCTGACAGTTTCTAACTGCTGATCTTTCCGTGAGTGTCAAGTTGTTGTTCAGTGCTGTGGAGTTAGTTCTGACTCCTAACAATTCAGTATAGGGTTTCCAAGGAGCAGCTGGTGGGTTTGAACCACCAACCTTATGGTTAGCAGTCCAGTGCACATCCTACAGCACCACACCAGAACTTCAGTTAGTTGTGAGTGCTTAATCCCTGCACCACCATGGATCCTTAATGGACCATGCCCAAACCCAACCACTGTTGTCAAATTGATCCCGACTCATAGTGACCCTGTAGACACAAGAGAACTGACCCCCAGGGTCTCGGAGGATGTCATCTTTATGGAAGCAGAGTGACACATCTTTCTCCCTTGGGGTGGTTGGTGGATTTGAACTGATGACCTTTCAAGTCAGCAGCCGAGTGCTTTAATTACTGAACAACCAACATTAACAGCAGATTATAAAACATGTATCTTCCATGGGCCTTTTCTTATTAAGGACCTGTGTCCACAAGAGCAGGATTGTGATCCCGGCGCAGCCCCAAGCCTCCGCAGTGCTTCGTCAAGAGTAGAATTGTTGGTGATTTCAGCTTCCTAATTTCTCCTTATCTGCACTGCCTGAAATTCTATAATGTGCATTTATCATATTTTCAATAGTATGAAAACAGAAATGATTGTGAAAAATCGTTGGCTCATTGAAGGCCTATTGAATGTCCCCATTTGCATGTAATAATCAGGGTCCCTGGATTAATTGTTCCTTCCAGAGCTTGTAATCCTGACTTTTTTAAATAGCAAAATATTATGCAAATCTGGTCAGTCTAATCATTCTTGTTCTGGAAGCAACTCCCGTCTGGGCTGCTGTCTCCTGACACCGAGTCTCCTCTGTCACCAGCCACCAGCTCTCCCCACAGAGCAAATGCACAATTAGCATGGAAGGTTGTTAAAGCTCCCAGCAACTCACAATGCCAGGGAACCTGCCTCATGATGACTGTACTGAGCACCAGCTGCCTCCCAGCCTAGTCCCACCATAGATGTACTATGGTGAGATGTAGTAGATACTGAGGGCTCCTCTTTAAGGTTACACATGGCCTCACTCAAGGAGATGAAATGTGTGGCTAACTGCCTCCATGCATAAAGACCTGCCTTTGCCATGAGACCAGAAGAAGTGGGTGATTAAAATGTTGAACATTTTAATCAAAGATTCCATGGAAGAATTCTGATCAAAAGGTAGACAATGCAGAACAGAATTTCTTCAAACTCTCATGGACTCTAGACCTTCTGGAGTCATGGAGAATGGATGAACCCTTGAAACTACTGCCCTGAAATCATTTTTAAAGCATAAATGCTTAAGGTGATCAGTAGGCCCATTGGATTAGCGGCCCCCTCAAAACCCTCTGCCCACACTTTGCAGAAATGGGCTTGGAGACGCAGTCAAGATCTGGGCCATAGGAGCCAGAGCCAGAGCACAAACTCAGTCTCAGAGAGCTGGATAGAACTTGGCAGTTCCTTTGGAGTGAGACCCAGGTCCTGGCCCATTGCTGGGAGTGAATGGTCATGGAGCAGAAATGAATGAAGAGGAGGGGCCCAGGATGGAGAGCCAGCATGGATACCTAAATGAGGGAGTAGCACCTATACTGGGTTAAAGTGTCTAGTTCGTCACCTAGGACCAGCTTCCTGAGCCTCCTGTCTGACAGCTCTCTCAGCCTCCTTCCTCCACCCATTCTCGATCCTTCTATCCACTCCCACCTGCTGCCTCACCTACACACACACCACTAAAGACTCCACGCCTCTGTGCACACTCTTCCCTTCCACCCACCTCCTGCCCACAGCTCTGGGTGAGCCTCCCATAGGCTCCCTCACAACATCACAGTCCAAAGCGTGAGAAGATGGTGCTGGGCCCCATACTCCCTTCCCAGGACACAGCACACTTACAGGAGTGTTTGTCCATAGGCACACTCCAAGGCCTCCAGGACAGCTGAGGGTTCTCAGGAATACTGAGTTGTGACATAAGAGAAGGGGAAAAAACCCAAACTCCCGCCATCGGGTCCATTCTGACTCATTGTTTTGAAGTGCCTTCAAGTTGGTTCTGACTCATTGCGACCTGGTGTAGGATTTCAATGGGTTTGAACCACCGACCTTGCGGTTCAAACTGACTTTATGGTCCAGGGCTTACCCTACAGTGCCACATCAGGACTTCCTATACAGGGTTTCTGAGATGGTAAATCTTCATGGGAGCAGACAACTTCATCTTTCCCCTGCAAAGCGACTGGTGGGTTTGAACCACGAACCTTTCAGTTAGCAGTCCAGTGCTTAGCCTATAGAAGAACCATATAGTTATTGAAATAGGAATGGCTTTAAGCCAGTCTTGCTCTGTGTGTGGGTAAGTTCAGGGGTGGCTTAAGTACCCCCTGGAAGCTATTAGAAGAGGGGGCCTGCTGACACAAAGTCCAGGGAAGCCCAGTAGGAAAAAGGGGGTGCATCATACCCCCTGAGGGGGGCCCTGAGCTCCCCCATCAATAGCTGTGCAAACACAGGGCTTGGCTCTGGGGTTGCCAGGGCAAGACAAGTGCGGAGCCCTGGAATCACCAAGGACAGTTGTCACTCTGCCCTACGTGGCTGGCCTACCTGTTTCTAGAGAACCCCAACCTATGCTCCCATGTGCCGCCTCCTGACTCACAAAGACAGAATGAATGCCTTTACCACCACTCGTCTGTCTGTCCAGCTGAAGCACTGTGGTGGCTTGCGTGTTGCTGTGATGCTGGAAACAATGTCCCTGGAATTTAAAATACTAGGAGGGTCACCCATGGTGGATAAGTTTCAGCAGAGCTTCCAGACTAAAAGAGACTAGGAAGAAGAAGCTGGAAATCTACTTCTAAAAGTCAAGCCAATGAAGACGCTCTGCAGTGAGGGAAAAACTGGATGGATTAAGGGTAGGATCACACAGACGATTGTTATCATTACTGTCAATCAGTTGTTCCTCTGTAAAAAGTTGAACTGGAAATAGCTGTGCGATATGAGACCTGTTTACAATGATGAGAAACAATTAAAGAGAAGCTGCTGAGGCTGCTACGTACAACCAAACACCTCCCGGGATCTGGTTCCTTGATTTGGATGTTGAAGGTCATGGTCTCATGGCTTAATATCACGTTTAGTGTCTCTGTTCTACCTCCGAGTTTGTTGCGTAGTGTCTTGTCTTACATCAGAGCTGTCTCTATTCGCCTGGTGTAACAGAGGAACGAGAGTCAGAAACAGAAGGCTGTGGACTCTGGGGCCCTAGAGTAATAGCGTCCTTTCTCACAAGGTCAGAACTGC